TCACAACATCAGCCCAGACTTTTTATGTTCCCATCTGTTGTAGAAAGCTTCCAGGTTTTCTATGAAAGCAGCTTTGATGTTGTCCGCTTTTAATACCCTTGTGATTTTAGTCCACAGATTTATCTCATTTGGGCATACCCAAAAACACTTGCCAAAAACACTTCAGCACAAACTTACTATGTTTATAGGTGAACCTCTGGCATGTCCCACTTAAAAAGTTAGTACTGCAATGCTCGTTAAATTGTTCTTAACTAAGCCACTACAGGAAACACTGGTATGCCAGCAGCACTGTAGAACGTATACGTAGACATGCTGGGGGTCAGGACAGCTGTAACTGCAGGCTGCCTTAGCTTGTCCTGGCTAGCTTGGAGTGCTGTTTTCAAGCTTGCTTGAATGTGCTTGATAAGCCCGTGTCAACCACTTGGATATTTGATTGTAGCAGGCAGGTAGGCACACAGGAGACATATTCGTAAGATGAGTGGAGTGCGGCACAGAGAACTGACACGGGCACTCAAGCATTTACGTGGTCTGGCAAAAACCGCCTCTAGACCATAAGTAAATAGAGGCGAATGGCTGAGTTCCAAATCGAGGAAGGAGGGGAGGTAGGCGAGGGGGAGTGAAGGAAGGCCTCCTACAGCCACTTCAAATCAACGTTAGTGTTTCACTAGGTATATCACTGGTCACAGTTCACACATAAGAGTTCCAGTAGCAATTCAGTTGCGCTTCAACGATATTTGTTGCATGATGAGTTATCAGTCGGGTGAGATAAGCAGTTCTGATAGAGAAGGCCTAGGACCTCACTCAACACACACGTCCTCTCCCTCAACCACTCAGGCCTGTTGTAGTGCGCCTGATGGAGAAAACAATAACAACACAAGCACACAAGAAAAGAAAGACGGTGAAGCAGAGCCTAAACAGGGCCTACACCACCAACAAACAACTGAGGAGCCTTCGGGAGACACGTCCACACTTCATTTCCCACCCTAAACTTGCCACCCTCAACACCATTGTAAACGAGGAGCTGCTCAAAATATCGACTTGGATGACAGCCAATAAACTTACACTTAACACTGGCAAAACTTAATATATTATGTTTGGTAGCAGAGCAGGTGTTGCGCAACTTAACATTAAGATCGACAACACTCTAATTGCCAGACATAATGAGGGCAAATTCCTTGCCCTATACCTCGACAACAACCTAAATTCAGCACCCATATCCAACACATAACAAAAAAAGTATCCAAAACGGTGGGGATCCTCTCCAAGATACGATACTACGTGCCGCAAACTGCCCTTCTCACACTATACCATTCACTTATATATCCATACCTCACCTATGCTATCTGTGCTTGGGGTTCAACTGCAGCAACACACCTAAAGCCAATATTAACCCAACAAAAAGCTGCAGTAAGAATAATCACTAAATCCCATCTCTGGCAACACACCCTCCCACTCTTCATAGATCTAAACTTACTCCCTGTTCAGAACATCCACACTTACTACTGTGCAATCTATATCTACAGGACCTTAAATTCCAATATTAACCTTGACCTAAAACGCTTTCTTGATAGTTGTGACAGGATCCACAGGCATAACACCAGACACAAACATCTCTATGACATTCCCCGTGTTCGACTAAACCTTTACAAAAATTCAATGTATTTCAAAGGCCCTAAAATCTGGAATACCCTACCTGAGAACTCTAGAACTGCAGACACATTCATCACCTTCAAAACTACCATTAGAAAACATCTTATCTCCCTGATACACCCCGTCAACTAACTACACGAATACCACCTGGTGGTTCACACTTACACTCGCTCACTCATTTGACCATAAACAGAAATATTAATCTCAGTCTTAAAATAATGAATCCTGTGATACTCCAATACTGAAACTATATACTGTGCCAAAACAAAAGCATTCACATTGCTAAACTCATAAACTAGTATTTAGTCACTTAGCCATAAGACCAACTTACCTCATAATTTGTAATATTTTACAATTAAGAATAAAACTAAGTATGCCCGAAATGCCTAGCCATGCTAAGCGTTCTAGTGGTACACTCTGTAATCACAATTTTACTACATGTAAACCAAACAATAACCAAATTTCTGTAAACTCAGCATTGTAATCCTTATAGAGAATAAACTTTGAATTGAATTGAATTGACCTAAAATCTGGAACACCCTATCTGAAAACTCTAGAACTGCAGACACATTCAGCACTTTCAAAACTACAGTTAGAAAACATCTTATCTCCCTGATCCACCCCGACAACTAACTACATGATAACCACCTGGTGGTTCACAATTACACTCACTCACCCACTGACTATAAACCCAGAAATACTAATCTTAATCTTAAAATAATAAATCCTAACTAGTCATTAGTTTGCATATGATACTCCAATATAGACACTTTGTATTGTGCCAAAACAAAAGCATTCACATTGATAAACTGACAAATTATGATGTAGTCACTTAGCCTTCTTCTTCTTGTTGATTTGCCGGTACTTCCGGCCCGGGTCTTTTCCAGATGGTGACCCGGCTGTGGCCCCCGGTTGGGGGTCACTTAGCCTTAATACCATAATCTGTAAGGATTTAATGTTAAGAATTAATCTAAGTCTGCTCGAAATGCCTAAGAACAATATGAAATTCAATGAGGAGAAATTTCAACTATGTGGGTATGGAAAACTTGGGGAAATTAAAAATGTATCAGGGTATATGACAAATTCTAACCATACAGTAGAGCAAAAAAGAAATGTGAAGGACCTGGGAGTGATAATGTCAGAGGATTTTGCCTTCAAAAACCTGGACCCATTATGTATCTCTGTAATCTTTTGACTACCGCCTACAGGATGGGTATGTGGTGCATAATAAACATATTAAGCTAACTAACTCCTCTCTCTCCATGCTTGAGACTTTCCTTGGTCCTCGAGCCGTCACAACCCTCACACCCAACAACAACAACACCTGAAGACAGCTGTTCTGAGCTAAAATGGACGATTTTGTGCTGTATACAACTTTAACTGTGATAGTGGCGGTGATCCTTGGCTTTATATCATTTTACAAGAGAAAAGAGGAGAAAGGTAGTTGATAATTTTGTTTGTTTACCTTATTTGGCGCACATTTACTGTGACACGAGGTATTAATTGTCCAGATGTGAACTTGAGGAAACTGAGTTCCTTTGAAGGTTTAATAAATAAGTTTTTATCGAACCCTAAGAACAAATGACTAATACCCGTTGCTGGGTGTAAGTAAGTGTAAGGAAATACTGCATAAGCAAATTCTCTACTCTCCCCCGGATCGAACCCGGGTTCTAAGGTTGTGAACCAGAGACGCTACTACTGTGGCACCAACGTGACACTTAATTTTATCTGCCGGTCACTGTCTCTGGTGGACCAGCCGTGAACAAGCTAATTTGATAAGTTTATTGTGCGTTTCTTGGCTATCCTGTGGGTAAGATAAGATTTGTTCAGATTTTCGACCCTGGAGGGTTAGCCACCCAGGATAACCCAAGAAATTCATTGCATCATCGAGGACTGTTTGTCTTACTTGCATTGTGTTCCTTTAATCTTGTCCCCAGGATGCGACCCATACCAATTGACTAGCACCGAGATACCTACAAGGACCTCAATGGGAATAAGTCATTTGACTTTTTGGGATTATCTTAGGTAATCTACACATATGCTGCTATGTATGGTAATCTATGTAACTACATTTATGTGTACCTGTACCTGAATAAACTTACCTTCAAATGGGCCACTTAAAACAATATGAAATTCAATGAGGAGAAATTTCAACTATGTGGGTATGGAAAACTTGGGGAAATTAAAAATGTATCAGGGTATATGACAAATTCTAACCATACAGTAGAGCAAAAAAGAAATGTGAAGGACCTGGGAGTGATAATGTCAGAGGATTTTGCCTTCAAAAACCACAACAATGTATCTACCTCTATCTGCTAGGAAAATAATAGGATGGATAATGAGAACCTTCAAAACTAGGGACGCCCAGCTCATGATGATCCTCTTCAAATCGCTTGTTCTCTCTAGTCTGGAATACTGTTATACACTAATGGCCCCCTTCAAGGCTGGGGACATTGCAGACCTGGAGAGTGTACGAAGAACTTTCACGGCACACATAAGTACAATTATAGCTGATATTATAAGAAGCTATCTTGATAAGCATAATTTGATTAATGATACTCAACATGGATTCACGAAGGGTCGTTTCTGTCTTAACTAATTTATTAACCTTCTTCAGCAAAGCTTTTGAGGCTGTTGATCATGATAAAGAATTTGATATTGTTTATTTAGATTTTAATAAGGCTTTTGATAGAGTATTGCACCAGGGACTGTTAGACTATTAAAGGAAGTGGCAGCTCATGGAATTGGGGGAAAAGTGCTGTCATGGATCGAGTCTTCAAGTTATGTCCTGGAATTTGTATTGATAAAGCCACTGGATGGCGAAACGTCTACAATAAAGATACCCAGATGTTGCACATGTGTCTTAATTTCACCAATAGGAAGCAGAGGGTGTGCATAAATGGGGTTAAATCCGAGTGGGGATCTGTAACAAGTGGCGTTCCACAGGGATCAGATTTGGGCCCATTGCTGTTTATAATATATGTCAATGACCTTGATGAGGGAATTACTAGTGATATGAGCAGATTCGCTAATGACACGAAGATAGATAGGATAATTGATTCAAACATAAATATCATGAAACTTAAGGAGGATTTAGACAAACTCAATTCCTGGTCAGAAAAGTGGCAGATGCAGTTCATTGTAGATAAATGCAAGGTTCTGAAGCACAGGAGTGCCCATAATCCTAGCACTTATAAGTTAAATAATGTAGAACTTAGCTATACAGATTGGGAAAAGGACTTGGAGGTTATGGTAAGCAGAAATCTTAAACCAAGACAGCAGTGCCTAAGTGCACTTAATAAGACAAACAGATTACTGGGATTTATATCAAGAAGTGTAACCAACAGAAGTTCAGCAGTTATATTACAACTTTATTCATTATTACAACCCAGGAGTCCAAATGGCCTGTTATCCTGGGTGTAAAGGGAGCAAAATAAACACAGCAGAAAACTTTTGACTTATATTATCCTTCACCAATTTAGAACAGAAGTATGTACACTATATACACTATGCACAGTGATAGGTATTAGTGCACTCCACGGTAAGCAAGGCAGAATAGAAGCCACTAGAGAACAGACCGTGCTTCAACCAGCTCTAGAATGGGAATGACAAGGGCAGACAGGAGAGTGGTACCCACATAACCTCTGCAATTGCCAAAACCATCTTCTCATTGGCTGGAACCTGGGTACTGGTTGAACGACGGGGCCCCATCGTCAACCGTCAGTCACCTGGTTCGCTGGTTGGGGGAGATAGCCTGTAAATGAGGGTGTGTACATGCGCCGAATAAAGGTTACATACTCTTTGCATGCCACACCCCCACCCCGAGAAGGCTCAGGATTAGGCTCCCACCTCCCAGTGGTAACCGTGCCGTCATGGCACAAAATAATGGGACCACCTTTCCTCTCAACCATCCAACTCTTAGATAGAGCTCAACTTTTCTCGTGACAAAAAGCCAAACCCTAAACAAGACACGGGCGGACGGTAGCCCGCATCCCCTCACTAAAAAAAAAAACCCACACCAGGGAATAAAAAAAATGAGCTTGGAAGGGGTTACCACAAGTAACCTAACACATCCTAACCTAATATATAATTATTATAAATAATATTGTTAAAGTGTCTGCCAACATATTTTCTTTGCCGGCAATATGTACAATTCTCAGAAAATATGGTTGCAGTCTTAGTGTCCATTACATGAGCCTTGTGTTGTGGTTCTTCATGGTTTGGAGATATACTAGAGGGTTGTGATCACTGTAGACAGTGACCACCTGCGAAGTTTGTCCCACGTATACATCAAAGTGCTCCAAAGCCAGTACCAGCGCTAGGGCTTCTTTTTCAATGGTAGAGTAAGCCCTCTGATGCGGCTGGAACTTGGCTGGAAAAAAGGTTACAGGCTGCAACTCCTTGGCCCCGTTTTGCAACAGTACTGCCCCAACCCCAGACTCACAAGCATTAACCTGTAATGAGAAAGGTTTGGAGAAGTCTGGAGACAAAAGAATGGGTGCAGTACACAATAATCTTTTTGCTTTGTCAAAAGCATCTTGAGAAACTGAAGTCCAAATAAAGAGAACTTTGTGACTGGTAAGAGAGGTAAGAGGGGCTACAATATCTGAGAAATTCTTACAGAATCTTCTGTAAAATCCTATCATGCGTAGGAAACATTGAAGAGATTTCCTATCATGTGGACCTGGATAATCTTTAATGGCAAGAACTTTAGCAAGTTTAGGAGCAGCTTTACCACTACCTACTTCATGGCCTAGAAAAGTAACAGTGGCCTGGCCAAAGGAAGACTTAGATAAATTAACATAAATGGGAACTGAAAGGTCTCAAAGAGAGCCTTAAGCCTAAATAGGTGTTGATCCCAAGTATCAGACACCACAACAATATCATCCAGGTACGCTGCTGTGCCTTCAAGTCCTTTAATAGCCTGATGGATAAGTTTCTGGAATGAAGAGGGGGAGTTTTTCATTCCGAAGGGGGTAACTGTATATTGATAATGACCTCCTGGAATTACGAAGGCAGAGATTTCCTTCGCCTTATCCGTCAAAGGTACCTGATAGTAACCTTTAAGGAGATCTAACTTGGATACAAAAGTAGCCTTACCCACAAAGCCGATTACGTCATCCAGACGAGGAATAGGGTAAGCATCTGCGATTGTGACCTCATTCACCTTACGGTAGTCTGTACACATACGAAACCCTCCATCAGCTTTTTTAACAAGGATGCACGGCGAAGCCCATGGACTAGACTCCTCCTCCACTAAACCATGCTCTAATAGAAATTCTACTTCCTGCTGAGGTAGTCTCTGCTTTTCAGGATTAGCTCTGTAGGGGGAGAGTTTAATAGGTTTAGAGTTTCCCACATCTACGTCATGATAACCTAACGGACATTTTTTCGGCACATCCAAAAAAATATCAGGGTATGACTGTAGAAGCGCAGTTACACTTGTTGCTCGAGTTTCAGATAGCCCCACCATTAACAAAGGGGATATAAATAAGGTCTTGAGGATATCTCTTCAAGAGAGAACTCGCAATAATGGATTCAAATTAGACAAGTTTAGATTTAGAAAGGATGTAGGAAAGTATTGGTTTGGTAATAGGGCAGTTGATGAGTGGAACAGTCTACCTAGTTGGGTTATTGAAGCTAAAACCTTGACTAATTTCAAATTTAGGTTGGATAAATACGTGAGTGAGAGGGGTTGGATTTGAGTGGGACTTGCACGTGAGTAAATAGAATTATCAAAGCTTATTTCTTGGGTAGCATTGAAAATTGGGTTGGGCAAATATTTTGTTAGTGGGATGGATTGTGAAGGACCTGCCTAGTATGGGCCAACAGGTCTGCTGCAGTGTTCTGCCTTTCTTATGTTCTTACATTAAGTACGATAAGGCACCTAAATTACTGGGAAGTGTTAAAGGTTCTTGATCTGTATTCCCTGGAATGCAGGTGAGAGAGATACATGATGATATACACTTGGAAGGTCCTGGAGGGATTGGTACCAAACCTGCACACTAAAGTCACTCCCTGTGAAAGCAGAAGACTTGGTAGGAGATGTAACATTCCCCCGATGAAAAGCAGGGGCGCCACGAGTACACTGAGAGACAACATAATAAGTGTCCGGGGCCCAAGACTGTTCAACTACCTCCCAGCATGCATAAGGGGGATTATCAATAGACCCCTGGCTGTCTTTAGAAGGCACTGGACAGACACCTAAAGTCAGTACCTGACCAACTGGGCTGTGGTTCGTATGTCAGTTTGCTTGTGGACAGCAGTAACAGCCTGGTTGATCAGACCCTGATCCACCATGAGGCCTGGTCTCAGACTGAGCCATGGGGGCATTGACCCCCTGAAACTCTCTCCAGGTAAACTCCAGGTAAACCTACTGCTAGATGAACAGGGACTGCAGGTGTAAGGAAACATGCCCAATGTTTCCACCTGGCTTGGGATTGAACCACGGACACTCAGTGTGTGAGGTAAATGCATTGCCTACCGAGCCACGTGACATGGTTGGTGGTTGGAGTGTCTGGGTACATGAAAAATTTTGCTGGCAGTAAAATTTTACACAGCAGTTGTTAACTGCTGTGGAATCTGCAGCTGCTGTGAGAATGTGGATTTGATCTGGATAAGAAAATAAGTTAGGTAGACTAACTTATATTTCTTATTGAACCTTTCCTAGTAATTAGATAAATTGATAAGCATGAATGATGGACAAAGCCCTTATAAAAAAATGGGCTAATACTGATTTTAGGGGGTTTATGTTTTTTTTTTATTATGTAAATTGTCTAATATTAAGTAGGTTGCACAGTGAGGATGGGTGTACTTTGGGCCTATGAAGTAAAAACTTATTTTTTTGGTAAGTGCAAAAAATGTAACCTAACTTATTCTGTATATAACCAATATACTGTATCATAAAATTTAACCACAAATCTAGGATTGGTTAGGTTAGGTTGGGTTAAATTGTGTTTATTAACTTAGATTTTATTATTAATGATAAGCTTCTGCCCTGTAGGTTAAAAATACATCTGTGTCCATTGTATAACCCACCTCATAAAGGAGAATTTACATAAGGATCTTTCAAGATTCTAAAATAAAAAATCCCCTAAACTTAGTATATTTTCTGAAAAATGCATTGAGAAGGTCACATGTATCAACCACCTTGCTAAGCTATGTGGCATTGCATTGTGGAACTTTATGATGTACTCTGTTGATAATGCAGAAGAAAAGAAATAACACAAGGATTTAGAGAAAGGTAAGGATGAGGATATTAGACCATCAGTTGGTTGCCCAAATGTAAATGGCTGTTGATCAAGCAACTGTTTGAGGGGCACCAATCTATGATACTTCATGCTTTTTGTGGTTCAGTGCTTTTACAGGTTTAAGTAACCTAATCCAATCTAACCTAATCAGTAAGCTGGTCACTACCTGACTACCATGTCATTATCTTTTTAGTACATAATTGGTTACTAACTGACTGCTGCTGTTGGACTGCTGGCCCAGTGGACACTTATTAAAAAAAATGTACTCCTGCTGATGACATTTTTTATTTGTTCATTGAAATACTGTACTTTATTTAAGCTATACTATAGAATTTAAGAGAGAACACTAGCATCGTTTTTTCATTTATCTAATTCTTGAAACTTCAGGTTTACTATTTTTTTTTTTGTTCTCACCAGGGTTAAATAAAGCCATCATTAAATAAATGTTTTTCTCTTTTTTATCACTGACTATATTCAGACTTCTGTTATGTATCTTTGTAGTACGAGAGAGAGCACGACCTCCCCGGCCTCGTGTGGGTGAAGATGGTGCAGCTGGAGGAGCCAGAGCTCATCCACCTAACCGTGCTGCTGCCAACAGAAATGCTCGGGCAAGGATGAGAGCAGCTGCACGTATGTTCATTTTTTAAATTTAATATTGTGATTAATGCTATCAGTAAAGGATTTTTTTTATTAACCCGTAAATGGTCCAAGCAGATCTACATTCACATGCGTAGTGCTCCAAAATTAGATCTACGTTTTTTTTACATTTTTTCAAATATAACAAAAAGAAAAAAAAAGTAGATCAAAGTTTTTTACACGTTTTCAAATGTAAAAAAAAAAAAGATGATCTATTTTTTGTACATAACATCAAATGTTGAAAAAACATATAGTATACGTTTAGACCGTTTACGGGTTAATTAAGATCACAATTAATATCTTTTCAGGTAAAATATAGTACAGTGGAACCTCCACTTAAAAGCTGGTGAGGGGCTCTTGCTCTTGATCTAGGGAATTGGATCTCAGCTGTTTGTTGGACTATCTTAATGAAGCTTGGGGAATGTATGATGGAAAGATGCTTCTTAACGTACACCAAAAATGAAAGAAATTGGACTGTAAATAACGGAGTTCACTGCTCAGCCATTAGCGTCCCCTTAGTGGTATATTTTCATATGGTTTTTAAGGTTGTATTCTCATTTTTTTGGTCTCATTTGATAGATTGGAAGATATACTACAGAAATAGATATAATTTTGAAATTGAGCTCAAAGTAGCAGAAATGTTTGATTCTTTGGCGATGCTCAAGAGTAAACAAATGACGTCACCGTCCAATACCTGACCAATTGGCACTGCCCCTCAACCTTCACATATTGGAAAGCTCTTCAACATGCTAGCAAAAGTGGGAACAGACATCATGAGGTAGCAGTGAAATATTGAAGTACAGGTCAGCCATCACTAATCCGGCATCATTGGGACCTATAGTGTGCCAGATTAGTGAGTTTGCCGGATTACAGAGTGGTTAGGTTAGAATACACTTAATCCTTTGACTGTCGCAACCCCAAATCCTGAAGTGTCTTCTGGTGTCGCAAAATATTTGAAAAAAAAAAAAATGTTCTTATGAAATAATAGAGAATCTTTTCTCAATGATAATGACACCAAAAGTACGAAATTTGGTGGAAAACTTACGGAATTACGCTCTCACGAAGTTAGCGACCTCGGCGACATTTATGCATTGGTGATTTCGCCCACTTTGAGCCCTATTTTCGGCCAATTACATTGTTCCAGTCCACCACACTCATAGCTATTTCTTTAGAGCTCCATTTCTTCTATCGATTGAGTACAAGAAACTGCCCATTTACTGAATTCAGCTACCCAATAAAGTGGTCAGAAATTGGCAATTTGGCCAATTTCATGCAAATTAAAAAATGTCAGTTTCAAAATAAGGTCCAGAATGAACAATGCAGACATTCCTGTCACTAAAATAACAGTTTCTCTATCCATCAGTCATGTCTCCAGGCTCCTGTTATAATACAGTGGTCCCTCATTTTTCGTAATTAATCCGTTCCTGGAGGAGCTACTATAAACGAAATTTACGATTTGCGAATCAATTTTCCCCATAAGAAATAATGTAAATACAATTAATCCGTTCCTGACACCCAGAAGTATTAAAACAAAACAAAATTTTACATGAAATATACATGTAGTACATAAACACTACAATGGGAAATGATGAATGAAACATTAACAGCATAACACTTACCTTTATTGGAGATTCTTCTTAGTGTATGGGAGACTGGAGGAGGAGAGAGATTGGATTGTTTACAGTTTGGAAGGGGAATCCCCTTCCAGCAACACCTCAAGTACCAATTGCTTCTCTGGGGTTGCTTCTCTTCTCTGTTTCTTAATTCCACTAGGACCACCTTGAGAGTCACTCTAGTCCTGTCTCGCAAAGTAACTGTGGAGAGAGCTCTGTTTCTGGCGTCTCTTTAACACTTCCCTAAAATGGCCCAAGACTTTGTCACTGTACATATTTCTCACCTTCTTTACCACAGGCTTGGCACTAGGAGCTTTCTTTGGAGCCTTGGAAGCTTATTTAGTATGTACTTGCAAGCACTAAAATGAGTGGAATATTATGAAATATTTTGTAGGAGCACTTGAGGGGACCTTCACTCACTGGTAAACAATGCCAGACTGGCTGGGTGGGGAGGCCGCCCTGGCTCACACCGTGCGTACGCATCCCGGACGAACTACTATTCGCGAGTAAACCTATAAAAAGCGAGTCCATGTTTATACGAAAATACCCCTATGATTGGCGAAATTTACGATTGCCGAGAACTACGAAAAGCGAGGGACCACTGTACTCTTGCTTTCTATTTTGAATTTTTATTCACACAAAAAATAGAAGATTTACTGTTATGCAGACTACTGCAATATTGAAATAATTGCATAAATGATGTCAGCCCACTCATGACTGCATATTATAATGTCTAGTTAGACATTTATTGGACAATGACGTCATTTGTTTACTCTTGAATATCGGCAAAAATCGAACATTTCTGCCACTTTGAGCTCCATTTCAAGGTCCTTTTCATAGTAAAACCAATGAAAATCATTCTATTTCTATAATATGTTTTCCATTCTATTAAATGAGACCAAGAAAACAAGAATACAACCATAAATACTATACAAAAATACACCTCAAAGTTGGCGTTTTAATCCAAAAACACGGCCGGAGTTTTTGTCTCATTATGCACTGTGTGCTGCAGGATTTTTTTTTATACTGCACACACTGACCACATGGACCCATTCTCTCACATGTGGGCCTACCAGCTTTCTCCTGCTTGATTTGAAGCTGCTAGAATTTTTGAGTGTACATGTATATACTTCAAACACATTGGCTCATAAGACGTATATATACGACCAGAACAGTCAGAGGGTTAATTAACCTATTGAGAGAGAGACTGCTACATCTTCCTCATTTGCATCACTACTTTCTCCTCCACTGGCTTGCTGCTGTGGATTTACAACCATCTGCACAATTTCTGAGTCAGTATAATGATGAAATTTGAAATTATGCTAGCCAAAATTAGTGCCGGATTACTGATGGAACCGGATGGCCGACCTGTATTTTGTCATACCTGGAATTCCACTGGAATGGATTAATTGCATTTCAATTAATTTAAATGAGGAAAATTGACTCTGCAAATGAGCAAATCCAGATGCGAGCATGGTCATGGAGCAGATTAAACTCGTGAGTGGAAGTTCCAATGTATAATAGAACACTGCAGTAGTGTATAGTACAATACAATAAATCCCACATTTACAACAATGCATTCTTGAAAATTGTTTGAAGTTGATTGTTCAGTACCCTGAACCTATTTCCCCATAGACACCCATGTGATAATTGGAGATGTGTTCTTGAGCTCTAATATGTACTATATTCTGTGTCTAATTTAATTTTGCTTATGTTTAGCAGCGAGATTAAAAACAGTGCACAGTACATAGACACGTCCCTCTCCTTTCCCTTGCCTTTACTTCCCTCAAAGAGTCTCTCTCTTATTCCCTTACCTCCCTTCCTCCCAAATTTCCACCTTCTCTTGCTCTTGCATTTCCTTTTCCCTTTACATTCCCCTCTCCTCACTGTATTTTAACTTCACACACTTTGTTTCACTCTTTTACTGTACTCCAATAAAATGTTATATTCCACCCTTACATTCTGCTCCACCAACAGCTCCCTTCAAGGCAAGATTGCCGAGCTAGAATACGTACAAAGAATTTTTACTGCCTGTATACACTCGCTCAAACATCTAAACTACTGGGAATGCCTGAAATTCCCTCAACTATACTTCTTGGAATGTAGGCAAGAAAAGTATATCATAATTTACACCAGAGGAACTGGTTCCCAACCTGCACACCAGAATCATGCCATGTGAAAACGAGAGACTTGGCAAACAATGCAAAGCGCCTCCAATAAAAAGCAGGGGCACTGAGAGAGAACTCATTGAGTGTCAGAGATCCCCTAACTCTTCAAGTGCATATTGTAAATTACCAGCAAACATCTGGCTGTCTTCAACGGGGAGTTTGACAAGTTGCCCTTATCATTTCTTGACTAGGTGGGCTGTGGTTCGTATGTTGCACTGCACTCAGCCACCAGCAACAACGTGATTAATCAAACCATGATCCATTGGGAGGTCTGGTTTCTGATTGGGCAGAGGGTGCACTGATTCCTGGAAGTATTCTTAGGGTAACTCTCACCCCTCACTCCCCAACAATGTACAGGTGTCCTTCATTTTATGTTGTAAATGAGTTTCAAGTTTTGGCATCTGTACTAAGCTCAACCAGGCCATAAATATTGTACATACTACTTAATTATGCATATTATGTACAGGTCCGCCATCACAAATCCGGCATCATTGGGACCTGTAGTGTGCCAGATTATTGAGTTTGTTCTGGATATGGGTGTTGAATTTCAAGTTGCTGTCAAGGTACAGACTAAGAATTTTCCCTTGGTTTGTCTTCCAGTTGAAGAACTGTTAATCATTATACTAGGTTGGACATTTGCAGCTCTGTTCCCAAACATCATATAAAAGGTCTTGTCACTATTAAGAACGAGTTTATTGGTAGTCATCCAGGTAACAGAGTTATTGAGAGAATTTGGATTTGAGTGGGAGATGACAAAACTTGTGTCATCTGCAAATAGAACAGGTTTAAATAATTGAGATGCACTGGGAAGATCATTGATGTAATATGAGGAAAAGCAGAGCTGAAAATGATGTCCTGAGGCACCCTTATGTCGGTAGATTGCGTTGACAAAGTTATGTCCTTGATTAAGACATATTAGCATCTGCTGTTTGGGCACGACTTTAGGTATATGCCATAATGTTCTAATTTAAGATGCAGGATGTTTTGGTCAGTTGTATTGAAAGCTTTCCTAAGGTCTATGAAGAGGCCCAATTAGTCTTAAGAGCTGTGTAGAGTAAGTCCAGCATTTTTATAATTGCATAATTTGTACTTTTTCTTGGCCTGAAATCAAACTAGCAGGGACTTAGTATGTTATGAGATACTAGATAAGAGTATACTCTCCTGTGAATTAGTTCTTTGAAGATTTTAGATAACAATGGCAAATTAGATATTGGCCTGTAGTTAATTACATCAGTTGGGTTTCCTCCCCTATGTAATATTGTAATACTGTGGTAACCCATGCTGTGTTAAGCATTTGAGATTTCTAATGATTTGCTGAACAGTGTTGCTACTAGGTCTGCTTCAATTATTTGGATGGCCTAAACAATGATTACCCTTTCCTGGTTATATTTTGTTTGCTGAGAAATTGAGTAAAACTTCAATTTTTTTGCGTGATCAATTCAAAACAAAGGGCAAGTGTTATATAGGAGAGGTATGGGGACAGAGGAAAAGGTGGCATTAATGGCTGGGATCCCTACTATATTTATTTTGGACATTTTGTAATTGGAATTTGTTGAATTTTGTGTAAAATTGGCCACATTACCAATTTTTGGGCACTTGATAGGATAGTTCTGATGATTAACCGGTCAGTTTCTTGTGCTCACTAAATAGAATAGAAGGTATACTAGTGAAATAGTCAGAAATTGGGTTGGTTTAAGTAATGGCATTGGCCTACAATAGGTCCCACGTTGGGCAAAACCAAAAGTGCTCTTCAACCTCCAGCTACACACCTGCATAATTCTGTAAGTTTTCCTTCAAATTTAACATTTTTGGTATCATTACCTTTAGAAAAAAATTCTTTACCTTTTCACAAGATAACATTATTTTTCTTTTTGAACAGTTGCAACACTGGTTATCACTTTTAATTTTGGGCATCATGACAATGGAAATAAGAGGGTTAATTCTGGGCATTGTGACAGTGAAAGAGTTAATTTTGGGTGTCATGACAATGACAGTGTTAATTTTGGGTGTCATGACAATGAAAGGGTTAATTTTGGGAGTCAGAACAATGAAAGGATTAATTTGCAGGATGATGATAGTGAAAGGGTTAATTTTTTGGGCTGTGACAGTGAAAGGGTTAATTTTGGGGAGGCACTACAGTGAAAGGGTTAAATTATAGATGGCTTTTGGTAAGCATTTTTTTATATTATTGATTAAATTATGTTGCATGAACTTTAAAATCATTACAGAACGTCGTGATGAGTCTGATGACGATGATGATGATGATACAGGAGGACTGGGTGATGACATTGCACTTCCAGATGGGAAAATTGGCAAGAAAAAATTGGCAAAGCTTCAAGCTAAGGCAGAAAGACGAGTTCTCAGAGAGGCAAGTTATATTTCATAGTGTATATTTGTTAAGTAATCCTCTAAACTATATTTGTGAGTAATGGTATGAAATGCCCTGTTATTTATTCTCTTACATTGTTGCATTAAAATATGAGACTCTTGTCGGCTGATTTATAACCCAGCATCCTCAACTCCATAAATACAAAGCACCTATACGAAAAACAGTACAGAATGGGTTACATAAGCAGAGACTAAACAAAACGTTACTCGTCAATTCTAACCAGCCTGATAAGAAGGGCTAAAAAATTGCATTATGAGAACAGATTATCCAACTTAAAAGGTGATATAAAAAAGACCTGGAAAACCCTATCAGAAATTCTAGGAACAAAGAAGATATCAGGAAATAGTGCAATTGAACTAACAAAACCAGATGAACCCAAACTCCCACCATCTGAAACAGCAAACAGACTCAATGATTTCTTCTCCACCATAGGAAAAAAAACCTTGCCAATAAAATCCCAAGCTCAAATACCCCACCCAATGACTACCTCACTGGCAACTACCTGAAGACACTGTTCCTAGCTCCGACTAACCTAACAGAAGTCTCCCTTATTATCAACACAAAAAACAAGACAGGAGATTTAAATACCTTACCACCCTTTATATACAAAAAAGCATCACAAGTGCTATCACCAATCATTGCAACACTCTTTAACAAATCCATCGAATCCTCTACCTTCCCTACAGTTCTCAAAATAGTGAGGGTCACCCCGATACATAAAGGAGGAGACCAAACAGACTTGAATAACTATAGGCCAATATCCAACTTACACCCTCTCTCTAAAATCTTCGAAAAATTAATTCATAAGAGAATCTATTCCTACCTCATCTCCCACATACTCATCCCCTGTCAGTTTGGGTTCAGGCCTAATAAAAATGATGCTATTGTACACATGCTAGAACAAATATACACTGCACTCGAGAAAAAAGAAGTCCCACTGGGGATCTTCATTGATTTACGTAAAGCTTTTGATACAGTTGACCATGATTTGCTCCACATAAAACTGTCACACTATGGTATAAGAGGGCACTCCCTCAACTACCTAAAGTCATACCTCAGTAGCAGAAGCCAATATGTGTACACAAATGGAGCAAACTCTTCCTTACAGCCAATTACAGTTGGTGTCCCACAGGGAAGTGTCCTTGGCCCTCTTCTCTTTCTCATTTACATAAACAACCTACCAAATGCATCACAACTACTCAAACCCACACTATTTGCAGATGACACTACATACATCTTCTCTCACCCAAGCCCAGTCATGCTAGCCAATTCTGTAAATACTGAATTACAGAAAATATCTACCTGGATGATGACTAACAAACTTACTCTCAACATAGACAAAACCTACTTCATTCAGTTTGGAAAAAGAGCTACAGATGTCCCTCTTAACATAATGATAAACGGATCACCTATCACAAAGCTCACAGAGGGAAAATTGTTAGGAATCCACCTTGATAATAGACTCAAATTTCAAACACATGTACAACAAATTTCCAAGACCGTAGGCATACTATCAAAGATACGGTACTTTGTTCCACAGTCAGCCCTCCTGGCCGTATATCACTCACTCATTTACCCCTATCTCACCTATGGAATTTGTGCATGGGGCTCAACAACAATAAACCATCTCTGACCATTAATTACCCAACAAAAGGCTGCAGTCAGAATGATAAATTCCCACTACAGGCAGCACACTCCACCAATATTCAAAGCTCTAAACCTACTCACTGTACAAAACATCCATACTTATTATTGTACCTACTACATACATAGAACACTTCTTTCTTTCTTTCAACACACCGGCCGTATCCCACCAAGGCGGGGTGGCCCAAAAGGAAAAACGAAAGTTTCTCCTTTTAAATTTAGTAATATATACAGAAGAGGTTACTAGCCCCTTGCTCCCGGCATTTTAGTCGCCTCTTACAACACGCATGGCTTACGGAGGAAGAATTCTGTTCCACTTCCCCATGGAGATAAGAGGAAATAAACAAGAATAAGAACTAGAAAGAAAATAGAAGAAAACCCAGAGGAAGTGAGTGTTGTGTATATATAAGACTAATTGTACATGTAAATGTTTACATATGGGTAGACACTATAAGGTGTAAGGTAGAACGTAGCAAGACAATACCTGGAAAATCTTGGCTCGTTCATGAGACAGAAAAAAAGCACACAAGCAATCCTACCTTCACGTAAAAACAAATTACAGGCTTTCGTTTTAACTCACTTGCAGGGGTTACTGGTCCTCCAACACTACCTAGGATGGGAACATTAACATGGAAATAAAACCTCTTTTCAAATGTCTCCTTTTACAACTCAAAGAAACACAGACAAACACAAGGCAAAATCACTCTTTTGATGTTCCTGAGTCCACTTTCACATATGCAAAAACTCAATGCACATAAAGTCCCAAAAATGGAATTCATACTGTGAATATAAAAGAAACAGTCTGTTTATGATTCAAGTCTCTTCTTAACCCTTGAGGGTGACGGTCTCTCAGAGACTCGTTCTCAGGGTCGGGCCAAATTCAAAAGACAAAAAAATCTTTTTTCTATGAAAAAAGTTTTTTTTTTTAAATATTATAGGCTAAACAAAAAAAATTTATGTGATGAATGATTTGAAAAACCGACAAGTTGAAGATTGAGACACTTATGCAGCATATGGGAATCTTTATTCAGGAAACGTTTCGCCACACAGTGGCTTCATCAGTCCAATACAAAGAGGAAGGCGTAAGGAGAGGAGGAGTATGAGGTAATCAGTCCCTCAGCCTGGAGTCGATGTGTTCAGTCCATCAATCTTGTAGAATGTACAGCATAGGGCCGTAGACGTGGCTTATATACTGTAGTGAGGTGAGGTGAGGCAGGCGGAGGCGGGGTCATAGTGGTACCATCCTCTAGTCGAAGTAGGTCTTCGTCAAAGGTTGAACAAGTGTTGAAGAATTCTTTGTAACAAGATCCTGATGCTGCAGTGATCCTGACAGTTGTGAGATTGGTTTGAAAAACATCTATGTTAAGTTTAGAACTTATGCAGATATGAATCTTTATTCAGAACTTTCGCACACAGTGGCTTCATCAGTCCATACAAAGAGGAGGCGTAGAGATGGATGGAGTATGAGGTAATCAGTCCCTCAGCCTGGAATCGATGTGTTCAGTCCATCAATCTTGTAGAATGTACAGCATAGGGCCGTAGACGTGGCTTATATACTGTAGTGAGGTGAGGTGAGGCAGGCGGAGGCGGGGTCATAGTGGTACCATCCACTAGTCGAAGTAGGTCTTCGTTCAAAGGTTGAACAAGTGTTGAAGAATTCTTTGTAACAAGATCTTTGTATTGGACTGATGAACCCACTGTGTGGCGAAACGTTTCCTGAATAAAGATTCCCATATGCTGCATAAGTGTCTCAATCTTCAAAAAAATTTTACCATCAATCCTTACCGAGATATGGAGGCGTGAAGTTGATGAAAAAGGGGGACAATGTAGCAACATTGCCGACTGCCGTCTCCCGGTATTCTTTTATTTACTTTCTTATGTACTAATTTCTATTATTTTTTAATTTTTCTTTTTCCAAGTAACTTTCATGCCCTGTGAGACCAGTATGATCAGTATTTTGTAAGTTTTTTTTTTTTCAATACTACACAATAAGGGCCTAAACACTGTTGTCATTGTTTTGTTTATACAAAATATTTGCACAAACAAACGATATGAAATGTTGTTTATTACTATTTTTCTATAATTTATATACACATATACAGTTACAGGGAATGTTTCTAGAAGTTCTGCAGCCTCTGGAAGTATTTGAAACATGGTGTCATGCACAGTTGTGTTTTACACTCCTCACACATAAAACGAGTGTCTCTGTGTTGTTGTGGGCGTTTTTTTGTATGTGCACAGACGTAACACCTCTTCTGAGCCTTTTTCTTGAAAGCAGTAGCAGGCAATTTTACCAGGAAGCGATCGCCATGCTTCAGACGAGAAGGAAGTTGTTGATAATTTGGTGGGCGGTCTATTGCAGGTGTTCTTCCTTGGTACTTGAATACTATTTGTCTGATGACAGACAAACAGAATTCGCCGTATTGTGGTTTGTTTCTGGTCCTCATCTTATACATATTATAAGCATTGAGCATGGAAATGTCCAGAAGATGGAAAAAGAGTTTTATGTACCATTTATAACTCTTGCGAACACAATCAGCAAACCCAATCTGCATGTCACATTTGTCCACTGAACGCATATTGAAGGTGTAATCAATCACAGCTGCAGGTTTTAGAATGGGTTCATTGCTCTTTCTATGCTGCCTTCCAGTGTCTGCCATTTCATTAGGGTGAACTGATGACAACAGTGTGACATCTCATTTGTCATGCCACCGAAATGCCATGATGTCATTGGCAGCAAACGCCTGCACCTCACCTCTACGAGTGCTGGCGTCAAACCTGGGCATTATTTTTCCAATTTGCACGCACTGTGCCACACACATCCGTCATGTTCACTCGCAAAAAATCACTGCGTGAGGGGCTTGTGTACCAGTTATCAGTATATAATATATGCCCCTTACCAAGGTATGGTTCTATCATTGTTCTAACCACATCACCAGAGATGCCCAATAACTTCCTGGTATTTTGCAATGTATAACTTCCAGTGTACACAGTAATATCCAATACCAGACCACTGTAACAATCACAAAGCACAAACAACTTTATACCAAAGCGTTTCCTCTTGCTTGGTATGTACTGCTTGAGAGAGAGTCTTCCTTTGAACAGAATCAAAGACTCGTCAATTACGTACAAGCTTCCTGAAGGGATAAAAATACATATTGAATTTCTCTTTCAGATACACAAACACATGCCTAATCTCATATAACCTGTCGTTTCTGTCAGGCCTGGTTTTGTCTGAGAAGTGAAGCATACGTAACATTAGCACAAATCGATTCACTGGCATTATATCACTGAAACCTGGGGTTGCAATCAGGCGGTCTGTTGACCAGTATGATTTCACTTTGTGCTTATACACATGTGGCATAAGCATTATTGTGGCATAGAAAAGATACATCTCAGCCACAGTTGCCTCCTTCCACTGGTGTAGATGTGATTTTGGTGAAAGTATTGTGTTTGCCATGGTGTACTTGTAGCATGTGTTGCTTTCCATGACAATACTTTCGATCAGGGGTTTGTCAAAGAATAACTCGAAACATTCCAGTTCAGCGGCATTGTTCCCAAGTGTACAAGATGGCCGTATTCCACTTTGGCTGTCATCAAACTGGTGGGCATTTGGAACAAAATTGCTAGCTTCCTGCCAATCCCAGGTGCGGTCTGCTGGTGGGTACTGGACAGTGACAGGTGGTTGTGGTTGTGGAGGTTGTGGTTGTGGAGGTTGTGGTTGTGGAGGCTGTGGTTGTGGAGGCTGGTGTGGTGGGTGGGTGGGGGATGGTGGCCTTTGTTGTAGATCCGCTGAGGCAGTGGTGTGGGTGGCAGCGTGGGTGGCAGCATGGCCCACTGCTGGTGCCTCACGGCCGTCACCACCACTACCACCACCATGCACATTTTCCATCCCAATTGCAACACTATCATCGTCATTTTCACTGTCTGTTCCTGTTGTACAGCCACGGGATGTACTCCGAGATGTACTCCTTCCCCTTGGGATAGCATATGGCACACTACCAGAGAGCATATATCGTCGTATATACTGACGCTTCACTGGGGAATATTGCACTTCACTATCACTACTGGAACTGTTTTCAAGAGCTTGTAGTTCATAATCACTATCACTATCATCACAAATGCTCACATCTGAGTCTGGGATTTGGGAAAATAGGAGTTTCCTCTTTGATTCTGGTACAACTGAACGTGAACAAGACGGCCCAGCACCAGAGGTGGAAGGCTGAGGGTCGTCTGGGTTTTCCTCACTATTACCGATATTATGGTCATTAGTTTCGGTCAAAACCTCACCAAAACCTTGAAACTCATCTTCACTGGCACTTCCATCTGTATTAGAACTGTCACTGCGGAACAAAAGTGTCCCAATTCGCCGAGGAGTGAGGAACTTCTTACTACGAGGCATGGTGGACATTGTGCAAGACAGGTATACAATACCGACAAGATGAAAGTTAAGACACTTGTGCAACATCTGGTTATCTTTATTGTAAACGTTTTGCCATCCAGTGGCTTTATCAATACAAATTCTTGGACATAATTAGAAAACAGAAGAACTATATACAAAAGATGAGGTAATCAGTCCCTCAGCCTTGGAGGTGGTGTTTACAACACCGTGATTGTAGAGATTCTCTACAATCACGGTGTTGTAAACACCACGATTGTAGAGATTCTCTACAATCATGGTGTTGTAAACACCACCTCTAAGGCTGAGGGACTGATTACCTCATCTTTTGTATATAGTTCTTCTGTTTTCTAATTATGTCCAAGAATTTGTATTGATAAAGCCACTGGATGGCGAAACGTTTACAATAAAGATAACCAGATGTTGCACAAGTGTCTTAACTTTCATGGTGGACATTGTGTACTAAGATGGCGTTCACACAATGCACCACTGGGTCCCAGATTTTTTTTCTACCACACACACTGACCAAACAGACCCATTCTCTCACATCTAGGCCTACCAGCCTTTTCCCGCGAGATTTGACGGCGCTAGAATTTATGCGTACTTGTACGTCAAAAACCCCTGCGCGTAAGCCGTACTAGTACGTCCGAAACCCTCAAAGGGTTAAAAATCACTTACTCACCCACAACTAAATAAATACTGAGTAACTGTATCTCATAAATGTTTAACCTGTGACCCTATCAAACTTTGCTTTTTTTAATTACATTCCATTGAATACACAGCAACTCAGCAAATGACCATATGACCTGTCTTTGAAATACTCATTTGTGCTTAATTGTTATTTGTTTACTATAATTTTTACCACTGAATATATCATTGTTTAGTTAATCCTAAGTTAATTTTAAGCCTGCCCATAATGCTCTGCATACAAGGGGCTTTTGGCATGTTACACTTAACCACTGTATTTCTTTGTACATCTATGTATCATGTCAAAGTTAAAAATAAATAAATGAATAAATAGTATGACTGGCTGTGATAGTCATAGTGGACACCATGAATATAAATAACCAGGATGTAAGTATTACTTTATAAATTAATAGAAAAAGCATAAAATCTAAAAGGACAGTGGTGAAAATGGGTGCATCTTTGGTTCTGGAGACAACTGATTGGGTATTTTAATGTTCATAACAATTACTATAACCTCTTCTCCTGTATATATTACTAAATGTAAAAGGAGAAACTTTCGTTTTTCCTTTTGGGCCACCCCACCTCGGTGGGATACTGCTGGTGTGTTGAAAGAACTACAACAATTGCTATATATTTTTTATCACCTCTGTCAGCATTCTGATTTGTATTCATTAGAAATCAGCACCAAGTATACGCACATGACAGAAGTGTGCAATATTTGGAAACTTTTACTTTAATAGGTTTTGTTTACCGGGAGCTTTGTCAGTCCAATACCAAAGAAGGAAAAATGTGCGTATACATATTATAGTGGAATGGAGGACAGGTGTAGTGTAAGAGGGGCCACCAAGCATAATTGACCTCTGATGTCTGTCTTGCCACCCAAAGATCAGTATGGCTTAAACTTTGGAGATGCGACTCCCAGTTTTTCTCAGCTGTGTTGCTGAGACTGAGAACTAATGAGTCTCAGCAGTGACACTTGTGCAGATCATCCTCCTCCACCTTCAGGATGAGTCTGGTCTCATTTCAGCTCATTCAATGGTCATGGCTATTTCTGTGTATAACACAAGTGTTGCTACCATTATCAATATGACGGGTGTATTTGTGTTTGTTCATTGTGAGTGTAGAAACAATAATACCAAATTAATCATGAATGTGGATTTGATGAAATTGTTGTAAATTTGGTTGAAAATATAAAACTGTGCAGAAACAATTATTGATTAATGCTTTGCATAACACTGAATGATATAGTCATGGGTGCTATATCAGCACTTGTTATTTGACTTGAATATTCCTGCCCATTATGAATTCTGTTATTTCACTTTTTAGAAACATTACATTATCATATTTCTGTATGATGAATATTTAACAGTTTCTGCTATGTCTTGATAAATTGCACATTTTCAGGCAGAAGAACGTGAAAGGGAAGAAAAGAAAGAACGAGCAGAAAAAGCTGCCGAAGACAGACGAAAGGAAGAGAAGCGCGAGGTAATACTCAGTTCTCCTTTGTAGGGCTAGGGGTAACAATACATTTAATTTACTGCTGTTTTACCCTTCTATTAAGTTATGAATGAAAAATATTTTTCACAGTTATACTTTTCTATTATATTGTTGATTCATGTCTTAACTTACAGAGAGTTAGAGGAATCAGTGGGATAAATTAAATTCAAGGGGTAAACAAAATATTCTTGAAAAAAAATATAGTTCAAAATATAAAGAAATAGAATTTAAATATAAATGTAAAGAAATATACCTATATAGTTATAGGTAATACATATTTTAAGAAAAAGAGGATAAATAAGTATACAAGATATGATGTAGGGCAAAATGACAGTAGTTTGTTGGATTATGTATTGGTAGATAAAAGACTGTTGAGTAGACTTCAGGATGTACATGTTTATAGAGGGGCTACAGATAGATCAGATCACTTTTTAGTTGTAGCTACACTGAGAGTAAAAGGTAGATGGGATACAAGGAGAATAGAAGCATCAGGGAAGAGAGAGGTGAAGGTTTATAAACTAAGAGAGGAGGCAGTTAGGGTAAGATATAAACAGCTATTGGAGGATAGATGGGCTAATGAGAGCATAGGCAATGGGGTCGAAGAGGTATGGGGTAGGTTTAAAAATTATTTTATTTATTATCACACTGGCCGATTCCCACCAAGGCAGGGTGGCCCGAAAAAGAAAAACTTTCACCATCATTCACTCCATCACTGTCTTGCCAGAAGGGTGCTTTACACTACAGTTTTTAAACTGCAACATTAACACCCCTCCTTCAGAGTGCAGGTACTGTACTTCCCATCTCCAGGACTCAAGTCCGGCCTGCCGGTTTCCCTGAATCCCTTCATAAATGTTACTTTGCTCACACTCCAACAGCACGTCAAGTATTAAAAACCATTTGTCTCCATTCACTCCTATCAAACACGCTCACGCATGCCTGCTGGAAGTTCAAGCCCCTCGCACACAAAACCTCCTTTACCCCCTCCCTCCAACCTTTCCTAGGCCGACCCCTACCCCGCCTTCCTTCCACTACAGACTGATACACTCTTGAAGTCATTCTGTTTCGCTCCATTCTCTCTACATGTCCGAACCACCTCAACAACCCTTCCTCAGCCCTCTGGACAACAGTTTTGGTAATCCCGCACCTCCTCCTAACTTCCAAACTACGAATTCTCTGCATTATATTCACACCACACATTGCCCTCAGACATGACATCTCCATTGCCTCCAGCCTTCTCCTCGCTACAACATTCATCACCCACGCTTCACACCCATATAAGAGCGTTGGTAAAACTATACTCTCATACATTCCCCTCTTTGCCTCCAAGGACAAAGTTCTTTGTCTCCACAGACTCCTAAGTGCACCACTCTTTTTCCCTCATCAATTCTATGATTCACCTCATCTTTCATAGACCCATCTGCTGACACGTCCACTCCCAAATATCTGAATACGTTCACCTCCTCCATACTCTCTCCCTCCAATCTGATATCCAATCTTTCATCACCTAATCTTTTTGTTATCCTCATAACCTTACTCTTTCCTGTATTCACCTTTAATTTTCTTCTTTTGCACACCCTACCAAATTCATCCACCAATCTCTGCAACTTCTCTTCAGAATCTCCCAGGAGCACAGTGTCATCAGCAAAGAGCAGCTGTGACAACTCCCACTTTGTGTGTGATTCTTTATCTTTTAACTCCACGCCTCTTGCCAAGACCCTCGCATTTACTTCTCTTACAACCCCATCTATAAATATATTAAACAACCACGGTGACATCACACATCCTTGTCTAAGGCCTACTTTTACTGGAAAAAAATTTCCCTCTTTCCTACATACTCTAACTTGAGCCTCACTATCCTCGTAAAAACTCTTCACTGCTTTCAGTAACCTACCTCCTACACCATACACTTGCAACATCTGCTACATTGCCCCCCTATCCACCCTGTCATACGCCTTTTCCAAATCCATAAATGCCACAAAGACCTCTTTAGCCTTATCTAAATACTGTTCACTTACATGTTTCACTGTAAACACCTGGTCCACACACCCCCTACCTTTCCTAAAGCCTCCTTGTTCATCTGCTATCCTATTCTCCGTCTTACTCTTAATTCTTTCAATTATAACTCTACCATACACTTTACCAGGTATACTCAACAGACTTATCCCCCTATAATTTTTGCACTCTCTTTTATCCCCTTTGCCTTTATACAAAGGAACTATGCATGCTCTCTGCCAATCCCTAGGTACCTTACCCTCTTCCATACATTTATTAAATAATTGCACCAACCACTCCAAAACTATATCCCCACCTGCTTTTAACATTTCTATCTTTATCCCATCAATCCCGGCTGCCTTACCCCCTTTCATTTTACCTACTGCCTCACGAACTTCCCCCACACTCACAACTGGCTCTTCCTCACTCCTACAAGATGTTATTCCTCCTTGCCCTATACACGAAATCACAGCTTCCCTATCTTCATCAACATTTAACAATTCCTCAAAATATTCCCTCCATCTTCCCAATACCTCTAACTCTCCATTTAATAACTCTCCTCTCCTATTTTTAACTGACAAATCCATTTGTTCTCTAGGCTTTCTTAACTTGTTAATCTCACTCCAAAACTTTTTCTTATTTTCAACAAAATTTGTTGATAACATCTCACCCACTCTCTCATTTGCTCTCTTTTTACATTGCTTCACCACTCTCTTAACCTCTCTCTTTTTTGTAATGTTAAAATGTTCAGCAGAAGTTTGTGGTTACAGGAAAGTGGGTGCGGGAGGGAAGAGGAGCGATTGGTGGAATGATGATGTATAGAGAGTAGTTAGGGAGAAAAAGTTAGCATATGAGAAGTTTTTACAAAGTATAAGTGATGCAAGGAGGGAAGAGTATATGGAGAAAAAGAGAGAGGTTAAGAGAGTGGTGAAGCAATGTAAAAAGAGAGCAAATGAGAGAGCGGGTGAGATGTTATCAACAAATTTTGTTGAAAATAAGAAAAAGTTTTGGAGTGGGATTAACAAGTTAAGGAAGCCTAGGGAACTGATGGATTTGTCAGTTAAAAATAGGAGAGGAGAGTTATTAAATTGAGAGTTAGAGGTATTGGGAAGATGGACTGAATATTTTGAGGAATTGTTAAATGTTGATGAAGATAGGGAAGCTGTGATTTCGTGTATAGAGCAAGGAGGAATAACATCTTGTAGGAGTGAGGAAGAGCCAGTTGTGAGTGTGGGGAAAGTTTGTGAGGCAGTAGGTAAATTGAAAGGAGGTAAGGCAGCTGGGATTGATGGGATAAAGATAGAAATGTTAAAAGCAGGTGGGGATATAGTTTTGGAGTGGTTGGTGCAATTATTTAATAAATGTATGGAAGAGGGTAAGGTACCTAGGGATTGGCAGAGAGCATGCATAGTTCCTTTGTATAAAGGCAAAGGGGACAAAAGAGAGTGCAAAAATTATAGTGGGAGAAGTCTGTTGAGTATACCTGGTAAAGTGTATGATAGAGTTATTATTGAAAGAATTAAGAGTAAGACGGAGAATAGGATAGCAGATGAACAAGGAGGCTTTAAGAAAGGTAAGGGGTGTGTGGACCAGGTGTTAACAGCGAAACATATAAGTAAACAGTATTTAGATAAGGCTAAAGAGGTCTTTGTGGCATTTATGGATTTGGAAAAGGCGTATGACAGGGTGGATAGGGAAGCAATGTGGCAGTTGTTGCAGGTATATGGTATAGGAGGTAGGTTACTGAAAGCAGTGAAGAGTTTTTACGAGGATAGTGAGGCTCAAGTTAAAGTATGTAGGAAAGAGGGAGATTATTTCCCAGTAAAAGTAGGCCTTAGACAAGTATGTGTGATGTCACTGTGGTTGTTTAATATATTTATAGATGGGGTTGTATGAGAAGTAAATGCGAGGGTCTTGGCAAGTGGCGTGGAGTTAAAAGATAAAGAATCACACATAAAGTGGGAGTTGTCACAGTTGCTCTTTGCTGATGACACTGTGCTTTTGGGAGATTCTGAAGAGAAGTTGCAGAGATTGGTGGATGAATTTGGTAGGGTATGTAAAAGAAGAAAATTAAAAGTGAATACAGGAAAGAGTAAGGTTATGAGGATAACAAAAAGATTAGGTGATGAAAGATTGGATACCAGACTGGAGGGAAAGAGTATGGAGGAGGTGAATGTATTCAGATACATGTATTTGGGAGTGGACGTGTCAGCGGATGGGTCTATGAAAGATGAGGTGAATCATAGAATTGATGAGGGGAAAAGGGTGAGTGGTGCACTTAGGAGTCTGTGGAGACAAAGAACTTTGTCCTTGGAGGCAAAGAGGGGAATGTATGAGAGTATAGTTTTACCAACGCTCTTATATGGGTGTGAAGCGTGGGTGATGAATGTTGCAGCGAGGAGAAGGCTGGAGGCAGTGGAGATGTCATGTCTGAGGGCAATGTGTGGTGTGAATATAATGCAGAGAATTCGTAGTTTGGAAGTTAGGAGGAGGTGCGGGATTGCCAAAACTGTTGTCCAGAGGGCTGAGGAAGGGTTGTTGAGGTGGTTCGGACATGTAGAGAGAATGGAGCAAAACAGAATAACTTCAAGAGTGTATCAGTCTGTAGTGGAAGGAAGGCGGGGTAGGGGTCGGCCTAGGAAAGGTTGGAGGGAGGGGGTAAAGGAGGTTTTGTGTGCGAGGGGCTTGGACTTCCAGCGAGCATGCATGAGCGTGTTTGATAGGAGTGAATGGAGACAAATGGTTTTTAATACTTGACGTGCTGTTGGAGTGTGAGCAAAGTAACATTTATGAAGGGATTCAGGGAAACGGCAGGCCGGACTTGAGTCCTGGAGATGGGAAGTACAGTACCTGCACTCTGAAGGAGGGGTGTTAATGTTGCAGTTTAAAAACTGTAGTGTAAAGCACCCTTCTGGCAAGACAGTGATGGAGTGAATGATGGTGAAAGTTTTTCTTTTTCGGGCCACCCTGCCTTTGTGGGAATCGGCCAGTGTTGTAATAAAAAATAAAAATACGTATTTCAAAAGTTGCTTAACATTGCCTAAAGAGGCTTTCCTTTGAGTTTTCTGGAGCTTTCTTCTGTGGTGGATTAGGTATGTCCTCACAAGTGTTGCATACTCAAGGCTTGCTCATATATGTGTGGTGAAAAGTAATTTGAAAGTGTCTGCTCAGATTTCTGAACATTATCCAGTATACTACTCATGGTGTGAAGTAGTGACATTGTGAAATTTAAACCAATTCTAGAGAGTCGAAGATGCTCATGCTTTCCATATTACATGGAATGAAAACCTCTTATGCCCTTCCTTCACTTTCTGTAATTTTCATTATAGTAAGAAACTTTGGCTGCACTGCTCATGTTATTCCTTTTGTATGCTTAGGATGGCAGGTTTGGTATGATGTCTGCACCTGGGTCCAGGCACATGTATGTGTGCATCATTGTGTTTAGATATTTTTAATCTGTTATTGTAGGCTGAAGAGGAGGCCAGAAAAGAAGAGGAGGAGCAGAAGGCGAGGGAGGAGAAGGAACGTCGTGAGCAGGAGGAGTACATGAAGTTGAAGGCTGAGTTTGAAGTGCAAGAGGAAGGGTTTGAAGAAGCTGCAGAAGATAAAAGGCAGAACCTTCTAAATGAGTTTGTTGGTTTCATAAAGGTACATGCCATGATATAATTTTTGTTTTGTTTGTGCATCAACTTATTGAATGTTTGACTTACTGCAGTGAAAACAAGTTAACATAAGTTGACATATGAGGTATTGCATGACAAAGAAGAATTAACACCACCATGGCCAACTTCTGAGTTATTAAAATAACTGTTTTTTTAGTTTTTTTTAATAGAATCTCAATTGGTTTGTCATGTTTTTAGAGATTATCAGTGCAGAAGACAAAATTAATTCTATATTTTTCAGAAAGACAAGGTTGTTGTATTGGAGGATCTGGCTGCCAGGTTTAAGTTGAAGACTCAGGATGTTATTGACAGGGTCAAAGAGCTACAAAAAAATGGGGTACTCACAGGTAAAAAAGAAAAAAATTCTTTGTGATAGATCATTGTTATTAATAAAACACACCAGCTGTCTCCCTCCAAGATAGGGTGAGGCAGAAGAGAAAAGGGCACACATTCATCATCATTCATTCAATCACTATCTTCCCACACTTCAGATGACTTTGAACTGGAACATCCCCACCCCTCCTTCAGATTGCAGTCACTTTACTTCCCACCTTGAGGACTCATATCTAGCTAACCAGTTTTTCCCTGAATCCCTTCATAAGTGTTACCTTGCTTACACTCCAACAGCACTTACTATGTGTACGAATGGTATATAATACCGACAAGATGAGATTAAGACACATGTGCAACAGATGTTGCACATGTGTCTTAATCTCAGCACTTACTATGGCCCTGGACTACATGTAGATGTCAGTACATTTTTAGTATTAGTAAGTGGCCTCCTATACTCATTCCAAACCCAGTACTATTCTTAGTAGAATTGTTAGGTAAATATTTCAAAGGATTCTTTAGCGATGTTACCTAACATTTATTTTATCTTTAAATGTGCCTTTCTTTGTTGTAGCTAGATTAATTGCATTAAGTACTTTGTGTGTCTCTTTAGAACATGAATGCAAAATATTTTCTGGTTGAAGTATGGCGTAATCAACAAGGAAAAAAAAAAAAAAGACACATACAGTAAAGGAGACCTGTATTAGTAGGATGTTTCATGTACATGAGGTTTTATCAAGAATACACTTGATAAAGCCTCATGTAGGTGAAATGTCGTAGTCTACTAATGGCGCTCTCCCTTTGCTGTGTGTCTTTACAGCCTTTTCTGTTATCAAATATTGATGACCAAAAATTTACTGTACAGTGTACAGTTTGTAAACTGAATGAATTATTATTATTATAATCATAATGAAGCACTAAACCCATTAACTGAGTAAAGCCAATGGAAGGTACGTAATTACCACAAAATTAGGCAAGATTTATTTCATACATTTGAAGAGCCCCTGGTAATGTAGAGTAATTAGTATAGACTAAAACTGGAACTTAAAAGTACTTGACACAATACACTTGTATAGTTGAGTTCAGTGGTAGCTTAATTTATTTTTACATAAAAGATCATGGGCTGCAACTGTGCCTCTCAAAGGCTGCGTGCAGTCCGTGGGCTGTAGGCTGTGCATCCCTGCTTTTGAAGAACGCTCTCCAGGATATAGTCAGGTTCAGTCTTTGTGCATTTACACAGTTGTCTGTACATTATCTCATTCATTTACATTGTTGTACATTAGCTCATTCATTTACATGATTGTACATTAGCTCATTTATTTACACAATTATCAGTACATAAGCTCATTCATTTACACAGTTGTCTGTACATTAGCTCATTCATTTACATGGTTGTACATTAGCTCATTTATTTACACAGTTGTCTATACATTAGCTCATTCATTTACATGGTTGTACATTAGCTCATTCATTTACATGGTTGTACATTAGCTCATTCATTTACATGGTTGTACATTAGCTCATTTATTTACACAGTTGTCTGTACATTAGCTCATTCATTTACATGGTTGTACATTAGCTCATTTATTTACACAATTATCTGTACATTAGCTCATTCATTTACACAGTTATCTGTACATTAGCTCAGTCATTTACATACCTTTACCTTTGATATACCTTTGAAGAGTTTTGAGAGCTTCTCTCTCTGAGCCCGGCCATGGGCCAGGCTCGTCTGGTGCTTGCCTGGTCAACCAGGCTGTTGCTGCTGGAGGCCTGCCACCCCCACATGATTGTCTGTACATTAGCTCATTCATTTACACAATTGTCTGTACATTAGCTCATTCATTTACATGATTCTGTACATTAGCTCATTCATTTACATTATTGTTTGACCATAAGCTCATTCATTTATGATTGTCCGCACATTAGCTTATTCATTAGCCAAGTTTTTAATTGCATCTTCCTTATCAGTGAATTTTATCCATCAGGGAAGATTTGTCTGTAGTCGTGTGCAAAACTTGCTTCATACAAACATACAGTTATGATTATAAAAGTGTAATGAATGCTTGTTAGAGCTGAAGGATATCCCACATGTAGAGAGAAAAACAGAAATGACAATGAAACTGTATATCATGACTCCCAGCCTTATTTGTAAACACACACAAAAAATTAGGATGCTATGAAAGACTATGTGAGATAAAATATGGTAGAATTTCATTATATACTGTACAGTATGTGAATAAATGTTGAAAGACATTTCCATCATGAATACCTTTTCAGTATGTTCAGAATTTTGCAGTAATTTTCACATTTTTATATTGCAGGTGTGATTGATGACCGAGGCAAATTTATTTACATCAGTAAAGAAGAGCTTGAGGGTGTGGCAAAGTTCATCAGACAGCGTGGGCGGATCTCCATTGCTGAACTTGCAGAATCCTCAAACACATTGATAACTCTCACTCCAGAAACATCAGGTGCAAGCTAGACTGCTGTATTCTGAAACAGTCACTACTTGCTAATTTTATTTTTTTTTGTACTTTTTTTAATCACATTGACTGTTTACCATCACTCATTCAGTAACTTTCTTGCCAGAAGTGTAAGGAAATCACAGTTTAGAAGACTCTCTGAACTGCAACTTTTTCTTTAATTTTTTTGAATACAGAAAGTAATGAACTCACTATTTTGTACAGTAAATATGCATCCTACAAAGCTATAATGTCAATGTTATATAGGGATGTTGTATTTGTAGTTTCTGATCAGCAAACTTGTCTTAAAAAGCATAACTCATGTAGTATGAAGCATAAAAATTCAAAATAAAACATTCTCCTCAGTAAATACTGCTGTGAATAACAAAAAGGCACAATACCGTGACTGGAACAATACACAAATAACCCGCACATAAAAGAGAGAAGCTTACGACGACGTTTCGTCGTGACTTTGTCAATGGTCCAAGTCGGACCGAAACGTCGTCGTAAGCTTCTCTCTTTTATGTGCGGGTTATTTGTGTAATACTGCTGTGATAAGGACTAAATGACAAATTTTTCTAGAGTTGTTTTTCATTTTTATTTTTTTCTGATCTACATGTTGATTTAAGCAGCTTTTGTGTCTTAGCTCATTTATTTTTAAGTAGCTTGTGGACAATGGATGGCTGACCTTTCTTGTACATTGATTACAGTGGCACCCCGGTTTTCGTCCTTAATCCATTCCAGGAGGTCAGTTGAAATCCGAAATGGACACAAACCAAAGTAACATTTCCATAAGAAATAATGTAAATTCATTTAATCTGTTCCAGACACCCAAAAATATTAAAAAAAAATATATTTCATAGAGAATAACTATAATTTTACATACAGAAAACAATGAGAAATAAATATAAAGCACTGATTTTAATGGATAAATGAACATTTAAATCACTATTACATACCTTTATTGAAGACTCTTGTTGGCGTATGGAAGAAGGCGAGGAGGGGAGAGAGAGAGAGAGAGAGAGGAGAAGTTGTTTGGAAGGGGAATCCCCCTCCATAAAGACTTCAGGTATCAAAGCCCTATCCGGGGTTACTTCCCTTCTTTGTCTTTAACTGACACTAGTACCAGCTTGAGAGTCACTGCACCCCTGTTGCACAAAAAATTTGTCCAGAGAGGCCTGTTTCTGGCGTCTCTAAGATTTGCCTAAAATAGGACAAGACATTGTCATTGAATGTGTTGCAGAAATGGCTTGCAACAGTTTTGTTAAGGTGATAATTCTCTGCAAAACTTTGCAACTCATTCCACTTTGCACATGTGTCCTTAATCAATGAAGAAGGCACATTCTCGGCAGGATGAAACTGACTGTTGATTTGGATTTCCCATACGTCCTGGCGAGCTTGGCCACACGTACGCCACTTTCATATTTTGATACGAAAGTGAATTCTATCATGTTCCTTACCTTTACCTAAGGGCTGGCACTCTGAACTTTCTTTGGCCCCATGGTGGCTTATTTCACAGTCGCACTCCATAAACAAGCACCAAAAGCAGTGGATGAACGCGCAGAGTATTATTTACTCGACTAGTGACAGAGGCAGACTGAGTCAGGCGATGGTGTCCTGGGCTGGCAGACGTGTCTGATACGGATAATTTCCAAGTTGATGTATGAAACCTGGAGTAAAAATTTTCCGAAAAAAGTATTCAGAATCTGACGAAAACTGGAGTTTTACTGTATTCTGTACATATTAAAAGGTTTATGTAACGCTTAAAAACTGGTCATTTTTTGTAATTGTTTATTATTATGAACTATGTAAAGAAGATGATTTTGTTGGCATGAGCTCTAATCTGCATTATAGCAGACAAACGAAAAATCCCTACACCAGTGAGGCTTCAACACCGAAACAAAAACTTTCTTAATTATTCGATTGTATCCTTCCCTGATTGTTATCCTAAACAATAATATTACATGTTCTTTTGAACCCACCTGAGTTTTAAGGTAGTGTTTAATTCTTATACTCTTCACTCCTGCTTCAGCTTGCATTGACATGAATGAAGAACATGTGATTATGATTTTCCTGAAAACTGACTGGTGAATGAAGAACATGTGATTATGATTTTCCTGAAAACTGACTGGGGTTGGAAAATGTGTAATATATGGCATCATAATAGTGGAACCTGGTCCCTTGAAATGGGAGTGCCTTGATGCCAGTATTGGGATCTTTATCCAAGGAAATGGAGTTATCCTCCCTTGCTGTAGATCAAACCTGATTGTCTCCCAGTCTCCAGTTCTCACATCACTGTTTTTGAACCCAAAGTGTTGCAAGGGTAGTATGCATGCTTGCTATAACTTGGGTAAGAGGTTTACCTACATGATTGTGTTCACATTATTTTTTGCATTCACAAATTGTGAAATTTCAGATTTTTATTTCTTTCTTTCTTTCAACACACTGGCCGTATCCCACCGAGGCGGGGTGGCCCAAAAGGAAAAATGAAAGTTTCTCCTTTTACATTTAGTAATATATACAGGAGAAGAGGTTACTAGCCCTTTGCTCCCGGCATTTTAGTCGCCTCTTACAACACGCATGGCTTACGGAGGAAGAATTCTGTTCCACTTCCCCATGGAGGTAAGAAATAAACAAGAACTAGAAAGAAAATAGAAGAAAACCCAGATGGGTGTGTATAAATATGTTTGTACATGTATGTGTAGTGTGATATAAGTGTAAGTAGAAGTAGCAAGACATACCTGAAATCTTGCATGTTTATGAGACAGAAAAAAGGACACCAGCAATCCTACCATCGTGTAAAACAATTACAGGCTTTCGTTTTACACTCACTTGGCAGGATGGTAGTACCTTCCTGGGTTGTTGCTGTCTACCAACCTACTACTATAAGATTTTTTATTTATCTTAATATATATTGTTTTCAATTTCTGTTTTATATATACTGAATGTTAGTTTATTATTTTGAAATATTTTAATTTGTTCTAGGTAGTAGGGTGCTCCTAGGTAGTAGGTTGGCAGACAGCAACCACCTAGGAAGGTACTACCGTCCTGCCAAGTGAGTGTAAAACAAAAGTCTGTAATTGTTTTACATTATGGTAAGATTGCTGGTGTCCTTTTTTGTCTCATAAACATGCAAGATTTCAGGTACATCTTGCTACTTCTACATACACTTAGGTCACACTACACATACATGTACAAGCATATATATACACACTCCTCTGGGTTTTCTGCTATTTTCTTTCTAGTTCTTGTTTATTTCCTTTTATCTCCATGGGGAAGTGGAACAGAATTCTTCCTCCATAAGCCTTGCGTGTTGTAAAGAGGTGACTAAAATGCCAGGTGCAAGGGGCTAGTAACCCCTTCTCTTGTATAAATTACTAAATTTTAAAAGAGAAGCTTTCATTTTTCTTTTTGGGCTACCCTGCCTTGGTGGGATATGGCCGGGCTGTTAAAAAAAAAAAATACAAGATTTCGGGTACGTCTTGCTACTTCTCCTTGCACTTTGGTCACCCCACACATATATGTACAAGCCTGTATATACACACCCCTCTGGGTTTTCTTCTATTTTCTTACTAGTTCTTGTTCTTGTTTATTTCCTCTTATCTTCATGGGGAAATGGAACAGAATTCTTTCTCCATAAGCCATGAATTGCATAAAGAGGTGACTAAAATGCCGGGAGGAAGGGGCTAGTAACCCCCTTCTCCTGTATAAATTACTCAATTTAAAAAAAGAAACTTTTGTTTTTCTTTTTCGGCCTCCCTGCCTCGGTGGAATACGGCTCGTTTGTCGAAAGAAGATTTTAATTTGTTTAAACAATTTTGTTTTCCAAAGCCTAAATTTTTGTTGTAGAGGACATTGTTGTATTCCTAAGAGCACAGAACTATGTGATCCCTGGTTCAAGGTTAATAATAATATTTTTTTTGCTACAAGTACTTGTGCAAGGTATACAAGCCTAACTGGCATAAATGACATATGTACTACTATATAGAAAGCCTCTTATTATGCAGAGCATTTTGGTCAATTTTGTCCTGGGATGCAACCCACACCAGTCGACTAGCACCCAGGTACCCATTTTACTGATGGGTGAACATAGACAACCGGTGTAAGGAAACATGCCCAATGTTTCCACCCAGCCGGGAATCAAACCCGGATCTTCAGCGTGTGAAGTGAGAGCTTTCGTTACCGGACCATAGAAGTGATTAAGTACAAGTGAAATACATAGTGCATATGGAAAGGTAAGATGTTGAAGTGTGGATGGAAAAGGAGAAAAAATGAAAAGCATTGTTTGGGGTAGAGAAAACAGCACAGATCATTAAAACTATAGTTTAAGTGTAGCCATGTAATGTTGGATTTATATAGTGGCTTAATTAAAGTCTGCTTTCCTAGAAAATACAATTTAATTTTGAATAAGGAATGTTACTTTTTTTTTTACTTGTTCTTGTTGCACAGATGATTTATTCATGCATGCAACTTTCAAACTATTTTTAAATAATTTGTTATTTCTTAATTTCTAAATTCTTTCAATTATTTATTTTATGACTACTACTGGTCCTAATTTTTTTTGTTACAAATTTTGTACTATACCTTGGCATTAATTCTATTCCCTGTATACTGCATTTAAGATGTCAAATTTTTCACCGGTTAAATTTTTCTACTTTAAAGGATGTAATAATAAAAATATTCAAGGTATATTTTTATATGGAGATGTCAAAATTGTGAATTTTGTATGATTTGAATAATGATCATGATTTCATTAATGATGGATTATTTACCTACTTTTGTAATATGGTATATTGTCCTTCAAAGAATAAAAAAAGGCCTGGATGCTGGTGAAGGGTTCTTGATTCAAGGAATTAAAGCCAGTTCTTTTCGTAAGATAAAACCTGATTGCCTCCCATTTCCAGGGCACTGTAAGTGCAAAACCTTAAGGGTTTTGCACTTTCCATCAAATAATAATGATAATTGGTATATACATTGCTAGGATGTATTATCAATACCAAGTCACAGTCAGCATTTACTTACCTTTGGTGTTTGGCTAAAATTATGCCTCTACTCAAGTTATGAGGGCCAGGGCTTTTCATAGGAGACACTGAATTTGAAGAGCTTGGCTTCTTTCAGAATTTTTTATTTCCATGCAAGTTTACAATGTGGTTGACATTGTAGGAAGTATATATATATAGGTAGTTTACAGTGAGGGTTTACAGTGATTTGTAGAGCAAAGAGAGCCACTATCATGCTTTGGCATTACAGGCAGTCTAAACTTAAGAGATTACTGAATACTTAACACTAGATGTACAAAACAGTTTGATCAGGTTGCACTAATTATACGATACGTTATACTTATGTCAAATATATGTTATTCAACATTTGCATTAAAATATGAGAATTTATTGTACTCTGAGCATTTACTTTTGGGGGCTCTGAGGCTAGGGGAGTAACACAGTGAGCAATTATAATTTGAGGCAGTGGAGGGTGATTTGGTAGCTTTGTTGGTAAGGTTAAGTACTGAGTATTTAGTTTTGGGTGAGTAGGTGGTTTTTAAGAAGAGTCTTGAATTGATATACAGACAGGGTTCCTTTGGTATTCACAGGTAAATTATCACTACGTATTAGTCATGTTTACCATGCAGTAGGAGTGCTGAATGACTCATACAAGCTTAAGGTTTTTTTTTTTGTTATGTTACACACCATTTTTTTTATTAACACATAGGCAGTTTCCCACCAAGGTTGGGTGGCCTGAAAAAGAAAAACTTTCATCATCATTCACTCCATCAATCTTGCCAAAGGCATGCTAACACTACAGTTATAAAACTGGAACATTAACACCACTCATTCATTTTGTGCAAATCAAATAATAAAGTTGAAAATCCTGTTCTTAATTATATGGAAATTGTTTTGGTTTGGAAGATATGTGCATTTGAAGAGAATTGGGGTTCCTGGAGTTACCTGGAGTTTACCTGGAGAGGGTTTCAGGGCTCAGTGCTCTCGCAGCTCATGGTGGATAGATAAGGGTCTGGTCAACCAGGCTGTTACTGCTGGCCACACGCAAAGTGATGTACAACCCAAAGCCCGGCTAGTCAGGTACTGACTTAAGGTGCCTGTCCAGTGCCTTTTTGAAGAAAGCCAGGGGTCTGTTGATAATCCCCCTTATGTATGCTGGGAGGCAGTTGAACAGTCTTGGGCCCCGGACACTTATTGTGTTGTCTCTCAGTGTACTCGTGGCGCCCCTGCTTTTTATTGAGGGAATGTTGGATCTCCTGCCGAGTCTTTTGCTTTCATATGGAGTGATTTTCGTGTGCAAGTTTGGTACTAATCCCTCTAGGATTTTCCAGGTGTATATTATCATGCCTGCACTCCAAGGAATACAAATCAAAGGCCTTCAACCGTTCCCAGCAATTTAGGTGCCTTATCATATTTATGTGTGCCTTGAATGTTCTTTGTACACTCTCCAGGTCAGCAATTTCCCCTGCTTTGAAGGGGGCAGTTAGTGTACAGCAGTATTCCAGCCTAGAGAGAACAACCAATTTAAAGAGAATCATCATGGGCTTGGCATCCCTAGTTTTGAAGGTTCTCATTATCCATCTTGTCATTTTCCTAGCAGATGAGGTAGATACATTGTTGTGGTCTTTGAAGGTGAGATCCTCTGACATTATCACTCCCAGGTCCTTCGCATTACTTTTTCGTTCTATTGTATGGTTAAAATTTGTCGTGTACCCTAATACAGTTTTAATTTTCTCAAGTTTTCTGTATCTGAGTAGTTGAAATTTCTCTTCATTGACCTTCATATTGTTTTGAGTGGTGCATTTGAAGATTTGGTTTATGTCTGCTTGGAGTCTTGCGGTGTCTTCGATGGAGGTCACTGTTATGGAAAGTTGGGTGTCATCTGCAAAGGAAGACATGGAGCTATGGCTTAAGTCTCTGTCTGTGTCAGATATGAGGATGAGGAATAGAATGGGAGTGAGTACTGTGCCTTGTGGAACAGAGCTTTTCACCGTAGCTGCCTCAGACTTCACTCTGTTTACTATTACTCTTTTTGTTCTATTTGTCAGGAAGTTATAGATCCATCTGCCAACTTTTCCTGTTATTCCTTTATCATGCATTTTGTGCGCTATTACACCATGGTCACACTTGTCGAAAGCTTTTGCAAAGTCTGTGTATACTACTCTGTATTTTGTTTTTCCTCTAGAGCATACAGGACCTTGTCGTAGTGATCCAGTAGCTGGGACAGGCAGGAGCGACTTGCTCCAAAACCATGTTGCCCTGGGTTGTGTAGCTGATGGGTATCTAGGGGGTTGGTAATCTTGCTTCCTAGAACACTTTCAAATATTTTTATGATATGGGATGTTAGTGCTATTGGTCTGTAGTTCTTTGCAGTTGCTTTACTGCCACCTTTGTACAGTGGGGGTATGTCTGTTTTTTAGTGAGTGTGGGATGACCTCTGTCCATGCTCCCTCTCCATAGAATGCTGAAGGCACACAACAGGGGGCTTCTTGCAGTTCTTGATGAACATGGAGTTCCATGAGTCTGGGCCTTAGGCAGAGTGCATGGGCATGTCATTTATTGCCTTTTCAAAGCCTTGTGGTGTTAGGATAATATACAAGATTTTTGAGATGACCAAATTTTGGGTCTCGTTCATAAAGAATTCATTTGGATTGTCGACCCTTAGCCTGGGCAGCTGCTCACTGAACTCTGAGCCATGTTGGGACTTTAGTATGTCCCATCTCACCTAAGCAGGGGCCCAATACTGGATGTTGTTTGTCCTTAGATTTGGCATAAGAGAAGTATTTTTTTTTTTCGGTTTCCTTTATGGCTTTTAGTTCATGTGATTCTTGTCTCCTGTAAGATTCCTTCAGCTTAAGTTCGATATTTGCATTTTCATTAACCAGTGTCTTCGTTTGTATTTCAGATATATTGGTCCCTCTCAGCAGCTCTGTGACTCTTTGCCTTCATCTGTATAGGGAGCGCCTTTCTCAAAAGATAACTTTTCTAATTCAAAATTGGTATAAGACTGTGAGTTCACTTCACAGAAAATGTATACAAAGGCTTAATAATTTGTATGTAACTATGTCTATTTTGTATTCATTACATAATCAAAATGCTTCTTCATCTAATTAGTGATGCACCCAGATAGGTTAATAAGGTTCCTACTATCTCTTCTATGCATTTAACAATGGGGAAAGATCTTGCTGGGCTTTAGTCTGATGATATTATAGAATTGAAAAGTGTAGCATAAGTGGGAGTTTACTCTGTGTGAGCTCTTGACATCAGACCACAATTTGACTTGGTCATCCTCCCTCCACATATGCTGGTGGGAAATATTATACCTGTACACTGGATGCACTAGACTTAAACATGATCATTTCATGATTGTGTATGAAATATCTGACCTATTATTTCATGATAGGGAAGCAATGTGGCATCTGTTACATATTTGTGGAATTGGTAGTAGGTTACTTAAAGCAGTAAAGAACATTTATGTGGATAGTGAGGTGCAGGTTAAGGTATGTAAGAGAAAGGGAGATAATTTTCTAGTAAAAGTAGGCCTTAGATAGGGAAGTGTGATGGTTGTTTAACATAATCATAGTTGGAGTTGTTAAGTTTGTTAGGGAAGTGTTTGGGAGACGTGTGGGATCAAAAGATATTGAATCTGGTACAAAGTGGGAGTTGTCACAGTTGCATTTTACTGATGACACAGTTCTTTTGGGGGATTAGATTCGGAAGAGAAGCTGCTAGGTTAGTAAATGAATTTAGGAGGGTATGTAAAAGAAAGAAATTAAAAGTAAATATATATATGTGAAGGAGAAAGGTAATGAGAATATAAGAAAATATAGGCAGTAAGAGTGATTAGATTGGAGGAAGGGAGTGCATATGGAGGCAGTAAATATATTCAGATATTTGGGAGTGGACTTGTCTATCATTCTGAGACATGGTGAGCCGATAAAACTGATGAAGGATACAAAGGTGGGTGGTACATTGCAGCATCTGTAGAAACAAAGAACTTTATTCATGGAGGCAAACAAGGGGAATGTACTCAGGGGTAGATCCACTATGAAACTATTGAAGCTTAAGCTTCAGGGGCCCCAAATCTTGGAGGGGCCCCAGAAGTGACTTTAGTCTACAATGCTTAAAATTTTGGGTCTACTGTATGAGAAGGGGTTAATAAGGGGCCCCGAAAATGTAGGTCTGCCATTGAATGTACCAGAGTATAGTGGTATCAACACTGTTGTACAGATGTTAAACGTTACAAAGAGGAGGTTAGAAGCAGTTGAGATGTTATGTTTGAGGACAATATTTTTTTTTTCACCACACAGACTGTCTCCCACTGAAGCAGGATGATCCAAAACAAGAAACACTTTCACTATCATTCACACATAATCACTGTCTTTGCAGAGGCACCCAGATATGACAGTTTAGATGTCACTCCAAACAGCCAATATCCCAAACCTGTCCTTTAAAGTGCAGACATTGTACTTTCCACCTCCAGGACTCGAGTCTGGCTAACCGGGTTCCCTGAGTCCCTTGAGAAAATATTACCCTGCTCACACTCCAACAGCTCATCAGGTCCCAAAAACCATTTGTCTCCATTTACTCCTATCTAACACGCTCACACATGCCTGCTGCATGTCCAGGCCCCTTACACACAAAACCTCTTTTACCTTCTCCTCTCCACTACTGATTTATACACCTTCCCAGTCATTCTATTTTGACCAAGCCACCTCAGTAACCCCCTATTCAACCCTCTGATAATACTTTTTGTA